TTAATTGCCCCAAGCTGGAAGCAACTCAAATAGGTAACAATGATAGAATGAATAAATTAGTGTGGCTTTTTCATATAGTGAAATACTATACAGCCACAAGAATGATTACTACATTTCATATAGTGAAATACTATACAGCCACAAGAATGATTACTACACCTCAAATGATTACTACACAAATGATTACTACACCTCAAAACATGGGTGAATTTCAGGAACATAATTTGAGTGAAAGAAGGTAGCTACAGAAGAGCACACTCTATATGTTTCCATTAATATAAAGATCAAAAGCAGACAAAACTGATGTACAGTTTTTGAAACCAATATGGTGATTTTCTTTGGGGAAGAAAGGGAGTAGTAATGTGAAAAGGGCATGAGGGAGATCTCTGTGGAACTGCTAGTGTCCTATCTTCTGGTAAGTGTGTGTTCGTTTTGTGAAAATTCATTGAACTGTACCCTTATGATTTTGTGTACTTTTCTCTATGGATGTCATACTTCAACGAAAAAAGCTTTTTTAAAAAAGAAGCCATTGACAATAGCAAAAACAAAACAAAACCGTATAAGGTATACTTACAAATTAATTTAACATATATATGCAAGTCCTGTATGCAGAAAATTTTAAACTTCATGGAACTATATTACATATGACTGGAATAAGTAGAGATATAGCTCAAGTTCATAAATAGGAAGACTCAGTATTGCAAACATATTAATCCTTTCCAAATTAATCTATAGATTCAATGCAATTCCTTTCATAATCCAAATAGGCTTTTTCATGGACATTAACAAAATGATTCTAAAGTTTATATGAAAAAGGAAAAATCCAAATATAAGCCAAGACACGCTAAAGGAGAACAGGGAGTGAGCAGTAGACTTACCAGATATCAAGATTTAATATAAGGCTATTATAGTAACAAAGACAATGTGGTATTGACAAAAGGAGAGACAAACCTCATCTTTATAACAGTATAGAAGATGCCCAAAACTCATAGAACTGTATAGTTGTCTCTCCATATCTATGAGTTCCACATCTGCGGATTCAACCAACTGCAGATCGAAAATATTTAGGGAAAAAAATTCCAGAAAGTTCCAAAAAGCAAAACTTGAATTTGCTATGCGTCAGCAGCTATTTACATAGCATTTACATTGTACTAGTTATTATAAGTACTCTAGAGCTGAGTTAAAGTATACAGGAGGATGTGCATAGGTTATATGCAAATACTACACCATTTTATATAAAAGACTTGAGCATCCTTGGATTTTGGTGTCTGTGGGGTGAGGGTGGTGGTCCTGGACCAAATCCCCTGTGGATACCAAGGGACAACTATACATTAAAAAGGTCAAATTTTATATCTCAATAAAATAACAAAATGGCCTTATCTGTTTGGGTCTATTTCTGGACTCTGTTTTGTTCCATCGATCTATTTGTCGGTTCTTATGAGAGCACTACACTCTTTCAAATATGAAGTTTTAAGTCTTGAAGTTAGGAAGTGTAAGTCTGCAACTTTGTTCTTTCTCAATATTGCTTTGGATATTCTAGGTCCTTTACATTTCCGTGTAAATTTTGAAGCAGTTTGTCAATTTTTTTTCTTCTTTCGCAGCCATAAATTAATTAATTTTAAAAAATACATTCTGAGTATTCTGAGTTTTATTATTTGAAATAGAACATTTTTATTGAAGTATAGTTGAAGTACCCATATGTACAAGAATGCTTACAATAGAAAAAAAACCCTCACATTTGTATCTGCAAGTAAAGGAAAATGGGTAAATAAATTTGTATTGTGGAATATGACACCGCAGTGAAAATTGATGACCTACAGTGACCCTCAAGAACATGGATGAACCCTAAAGCAATATTGAGTAAAACATGAAAGCCTACATAAATCAAAATACAGTGTCATGTGATTTTCAAAAAATTCAGAAACAAGGTAATTAAACAATATATTGTATAAGCATACAAATAGATGTGATAAAAATATTTAAAAAAAATTTCATGGACATTAACAAAATGATTCATGAACATTAACAAAAGTCAGGACAGTGATTATCTCTTGGGAGGAGGCAGAGAGATGGAAGTTGTGGAGTGTAGGAGTAGGTGCAATTTTTGTAATGTCCTAGCTCTTGGGTTGGGAAGGAAATTCAATGAATTAATTATACTATTTTTGCTTTAGAACATATACATACTCTTTTGTTTGCATTTAAAGCACTTTAAAAATTAAAGAACTTAAAATAGCAATTATTAGCACGCCATAAACACTGTTCTTGTTTTCCACTTACAATATCATAGAGATTGTTCCCTATTGGTACACATAGATCTACCTCATTCTTTCTAACCGTTACATAGTATTCCACTGAATACACCATCATTTATTTAATCAGTCCTCCTTAATGATGAATATTTGGGTTGTTTCTAGTCTATAAGCAATGTTGCAATTAATTAATTAATTATTTTTTTGGCCACACCGTGTGGCATGTGGGATCTTAGTTCCCTAACCAGAGATCAAACCTGCGCCCCCTGCAGAAGGACAGAGTCTTAACTACTGGACTGCCAGGGGTGTCCCCACAATTATTATTATGCATACATCTGATGGGGTTCAGGGCAGGCCACTCCAAAATATGCCATTTTGGCATATTGATTATTTTGAATTAAATTTACTTAAGAAATAGCTGGTACAAGAAGGACACTCTGACCCTGCTTTGTCCCCCTAAAAGCAGGAAATAAGTCTTCCACGTGAAAGGTACCTTCCATGTACCAGAAGGGTAGAGGGCATTCTTATCACTAGAGATAGGGAGTTCAGAGCTGAGATGTCTGTATAAAAAAAATCTTGTTACTTCTTTACTAATATACTACTGCAAGCCCAAACTCCTTTGTCTTGTCAATTCTTCACAAATTTATTGTTTCTTTTCCAAAAGGTATAAAAGCTGCCTGCCCTGGTCACTTCTTTGGGTCTCATACCTTTGGGGTCCCCTTACATGTGAAATTAAATTTGTTGTTCTCCTGTTAATCTTTTATTTCAGGGAGTGTCTCAGCCGAAAACCTAGAAGGGTAGAAGGAAAATTATTTTTCCTCCCTACACATCTTTATACAGTAATCTGAAAGGTCAAATTTCTAGAAGTGGAATTACTATGGTAAGAAATGTTACAATTCTGAATAGATGACTAAATTGCTTGTTTAACTTCAGACAATACGAGTTTAAGGCAACAGTGAAAAATCCAAATGCGGGTGGCCTACAGATATTGTCATCAGGAAGTACCTGAGGACACCCAGGAGTGTTTGAATGCTTTTGCACATGCAAGGTATTTAGAACAGAGTAGGTGTGGAAGTGGAGTGAGAGTGACTATGTATTCACTGCTTGAGAAAAGCAAAATTAGTGACCTAAGGCCTCCCTCCAGGCCTGTTGGACAGCATTTCCACAGCCGACCCATATACTCAGCCAAACTCTTGCCTACTCCCTGAGGGTGAGCCAGGAAAGTCTTGGGAAGGAGAGAAGGAAGGAACAGCTCTCCTAGCCTTGGACGTGTCTGTAGTTGGAGTGGCCCCTAGGGCATCTGAGCTAGGCTTTCCCCCACAGGGCTGGCCCAGCATAGAGGCCCAACCCCAGAAGAGCATAAACAGGGGTGACCCTGAAAATACCTTTTGCTGAGAGAGACCAAGGCCAGTTGAATGGGGCAACCTCAGTACCAGGATCCTTTTATTACAAATCATGAGTTCAGGTGAGATCCCCAATTGCTGGGCAGTTAAAGTTGTGTGCAGTTCTCCCCTGTTATAAACAAAACTGGATTGAGCACACTTGCTCTTCCCTTCCATCCAGCATCACTACCGGGCTTTACTTCTTTAGGTCCCTATTTCCCCTCCTATAATGGCAGCAGGATTCTCTGTTCATCCCTCAGGATCCTCCCCAGAAGATGAGACTAGAGTGAGGCAACTGAGGCAGTCATTCTGCAGGCAAAAGTTAAGGGTGTGCCAAAAACCCTCAGTAATCAAGATAAAGAATACTTTAGGGAATTCCCTGGCGGTCCAGTGGTTAGGACTCCGAGCTTCCACTGCAGGGGGCAGGGGTTTGATTCCTCCTCCCGGAACTAAGATTCTGTATGCCGCATGGTGCAGCCGAAAACAAAAACAAAAACAAAAAGTGTATTTTAATGCAGCATTTTAAAAATTCAAAACTAATGCAAACAAAAAATCCATGATGAACAAAATACCAGAACTTACAGTGTTAAAGACGAGATCCAACCCTTCACTTTCACCAACCTGCCTCACTCCTTTCACTAGTCCTGGTTCCACTAAAACTTTATATACAAAATCAGGTGGCCAGCCCCACTGGCTGTGGTTTGCCAATATTCCTATTTTTTAAAATTCTTTGTTATATATATTTTTTATTGTGGTAAAATATACATAATATAAAATGTACCATTTTAACCATTTTAAACTTTACAGTTCGGCGGCATTAAGCACATTCACATTGTTCTGTACACATGATTTTTAAAAAAATATTACATTAAAATATTGTATATCGTGATTACTGAGTTTGGGGGCGCCAGAGGCCAGTGTCTCCCTTGCCTTACTCTAGTTCTCACGCTGCCACCCCCACTCTTCACCCACTCCTGCAGCCTGAGGAAGGAAAACTGCAAGTTTCTCCCATAAGGCAGCAGCAGAAGGGTTATTCCGGTGGCGATCAGGCTATTGAGGACGTCCGTCCACACAGCCGCCGGCAACAAGAACACTTGCTCCACCTGCATCCTCCCGCCGCCTTTGCTCTCTTGCAATGAGACACACTTGGCTGGCGCTCCCTCTACCTGCCCAGGACCACCTGACGGAGGGCGGGCATCCCGTGGCCCGGCCCGCTCGGGTCGGCTGGGCGTCCTGCCGGCCAATGGGGAAGGGGCCCCTCCGGACACAGGCAGCGTCCTTAGGAGCGGCCAATGGGAGCGCGGCATGCAAATGAGCAGGTGCGGCGACGGCTGACCAGTCAAGGCGGCAGCGGCTCAGGGCGTGTTAAGAGGCGCGCTGGGAGGTCGCGGAGCAGACACGCAGGCTTCGAGCTGCGAGCTCCCGTCTCCCGCCATGGCCCCCGCTCCGCCCCCCGCCGCCTCCTTCTCCCCCGCCGAGGTCCAGCGGCGCCTGGCGGCCGGCGCCTGCTGGGTCCGCTGCGGGGTCCGCCTCTACGACCTCACCGGCTTCGTGCGGCACCACCCAGGGGGTGAGCAGCTGCTGCGGGCACGGGCTGGTCAGGATGTTAGCGCCGACCTGGACGGGCCACCACACCGGCACTCGGACAACGCGCGCCGCTGGCTCGAGCAATACTACGTGGGGGACCTGCAAGGAGACCTTCAGGTACAGCCGGGCCCGGGGGTCACACACCCTCTGTTACCCCCACCCTCCCCGCCCCAACTCTCCACTCCCCGGCAGGCCGCGTTCACCTGCCCTCTAGGAGGACCCAAGGTGACAGCCTCCGCCCTCACCTCTCTTCTCTCCAGGTAACAGGTCCCTGCCTAGCAGCCAGGAGTTTGCCCTCCCTCTCCAGCCTTTCCCCTGTCCCTCCTCTGTCTGCTACTCCTCCCACCTCATAAGGTACCTCCTCCTTGCTACTTGTTCCTGCTGCAGCCTCTGCCATCTGACAACTGGGATTGCCTTTTTCTGTTTGAATAATAGCTTCCAAGTTCACCTGTCCTCCCCATCTCGCCCTACCCCTGCATCCAACAGGCACAGACCAGTCACCCTTCTCAGCTAGTTTGGTTTTCCTGGCACCAACGTAGTCTTGCACAGCGGCTTCTCTGGTTGCGTGGAGAGGTTGGCGCAGTGTCTTGGGTGGCCTATGTCCTCCCAATCCCTCAGACCTCCCTTTATTCCTTGTCTTGCATGCTGGCTTGGGTGTCCAGCAGAGTGACATGACAGGGGTAAGCCAGTTTTGCTGGGGAGAAGGGAGTAGCACTCTGGGCTGCATGCTGCTGTGCACCACAGGCTCATGATTGTATTTAAACCTCTGATCCTGGGGTGGGTTTTCTTATCCCCATTTTAGGATGTGGAAACTGAGGATCAAGGAGGCACTGTAATTTGAGGTCAATTTGGAATTTGAGGTAATTTGAGCTAATTAGTGGAAAAGTCAAGTGTGTCTGATTCCAAAATCAGTGCTCTCTCCATCCCAAGTATCCTTGGGCCTGGGAGATGATCCTATCCGTTGGGTTCCAGGTAGGCTTGTGCCAGAGGCAAACCGACTCTTCAGGACTTCCCCAGGCCCAGCTCTAGGACTGGTGACAGTGAGGCCATCATACTTGGACATAAACCAACAGTTGTTCCCTGCTTCTAGCTCTTGCATTCAAGATGGCCCCAGCAAGTGCTTTTAGGTCTTTGGATGAAAGGACTTGCCTCTCACTGTTCCAGGTGGCTTTTCACTAGGCCATCTTGCCTAATTCTTTAATCATTTATTCACTCACTCACTTGGTCCCTTAGTGATTGGCAGTACTGAGCTAGGCACTGAGGAGGTATCAATGGACAAAAGCAATACGGTCTTCATGGACCTAACAGGCTAATGGGGTAACATACTAATCCTACAGTAATTCTTCAATTACCTGGTGCTATCAGAGTATGAATCAGGGAGAGCTTTCTGGAGAAAGTAATATTTACCCTGGGAGCTAATCAATGGATAGGGCTTAAGCCAGGGGAAGTGTGGTGAGAAGAACCTTCCAGACAGAGGGAAAAGAATGTGTGAAGGCTCTGAAGGGTAACGGCTTGGCAGAGTCAAGGGACAGAAGTAAAACCAATGTGACCAGAGGCTGTTGGGCAAGGAGAGGGAGTGGAAGGAGGCCGGAGAATCAGCCAGGGCCGCTGTGGTCAGGTTTTGGGACTTGATTCTAAGAACAATGGGAAACCAGGTAATGGATTCAAGCAAGGGTGTGGCGTGGTCAGATTTGCATCTTTGGAAGAGCATCCTGGCTGCGATGCCAAGAAGCGGTGGTAGGAGCCCACGTGGGTGTGAGGAGACCAGGCGGGAGGCTACCCCATAGCCCAAGTGAGAGGTAACCGTGACGATGACCAAGGGAAGGGGAAGGTTGAATTTGGGAGACTTCATATGTAAAATGGCAAGACTCAGCATTCTGCAGCGGGGGCCCAGTTTAATCTTGGAAGCTGATGTTAGGTGTGTGGTCATGCTGAAGGGGCAGGTTTAGCCATAGATATAACTGAAGCTGAGTGCAGGAAATGAGAGGTGGGAGCCGGAATACTAGAGACTTCCAGTCTCGTGATGGCTCATGGAAGCCATCCTACACTGTAACTGTGTCCTATAAACAGGCACCTTAGGGTGTGGCCTCTCCTCCCAGCACCGTCTAGAGCATCTCTCCTGGCTAGCTGCCCTAGATGGCTTTACCTCCTAGCTCTGCTAGCGACCCAGCACTATGGTTTGATTTGGCTTTGTTTTGCTTTGCTTTACCTGACCTTCAGAGAATACTGAGTCTAAATTTGTTTCTTACCCCTGCACTCACCTGTTACCCCAAGAGTCCCAGTGTGGCCATGTTTCAGGCATCCTTATATCTGGGCCCCCACCTGAGGATGTGGGAAGAAAACTAAAAATTAACACCACATTTACAAACCCGTGGCCCAAACTTGACCAATGGCCGTAGTCACCCAATACTCCAGTTGCTTGTCAGCTTCTGTCTACTATTCTGGAAACTAGTGTAGGGTTGTCTTTATATTGGGGAAGAGAGGTATTCAGAGGAGAAATCTGGAGAAGATATCTTTTCAGAGAGAAACCGTCTTCGTAAGGGCTGAATGGAGAGGAGACATATCTGTTCTTCTCTCTGGTTAAGCCCTTCTGGCAACCCCCATGCTGCCTTCTCCACCTCTCCCATCTCCTCCTGCTGGACCAGGGATGCTGACACCTGTTGAGGCTAGAAACCGGCTTCTGTAGTGTGAGGACCAGAAGGGGCGTTGATGGGGAAGGGGAGTGTCATGAGCCAGCTCTGTTGTTTGGAGCTCATTTCTGAGTGGCGCCCCTCCTCTTTCCAAGTGTAGTCCTCAGCGGGGAGCCTGCTGGAGCTCTGCCATGAAATTGCAGGGACAAGGCTCAGCCCCACTGGTTTCCCCTTCCCCCCACTTTGCCACACCCCCTCTGTATACACACTTACCCACACATTCACACTCACAGGGAAGCACACACACATGAAACAAGTCAAACTTGTTTGAGCCAACATACCGTGGGGATGAGACAAGATCTTTTGTAGCCCTGGACTTGAGGAAGTGAATCAGTGATGGCTGAGCAGGGAAGCCAGGCCCTCTTCTCGATTGGGTGCTCAGGGCTCCTCACTCCAAGCTTAGATAAGAGTGGCTCATGTTGTTAGTGGGGCATGAAATCCATTGACTGAGCTGCAACCAGCAATTTTTTTTTTTTTTTTTTTTTTTGTGGTACGCGGGCCTCTCACTGCTGTGGCCTCTCCCGTTGCGGAGCACAGGCTCCGGATGTGCAGGCCCAGCGGCCATGGCTCCCGGGCCCAGCCACTCCGCGGCATGCGGGATCTTCCCGGACCGGGGCACGCACCCATGTCCCCTGCATCGGCAGGCGGACTCTCAACCACTGTGCCACCAGGGAAGCCCAACCAGCAATTTTTTAAAAGAAATAGGAAAGAAAAGAACTTCGGGTCCAAACCTCCCAAGGCCATAGATACTGTTTCCCAGACTTGTCATCCATGAATCACTGTCCCAGTTTTTTTCCAAATTGGCATATGACTTGAACTATTTAATATTTATTTTTAAGTAGACTCACTTTTTATTTTACCGTTTACTCACCCTAGGCAATATTACCAGTGAAATCAGGGTTTACATGCACTTTAAAAATAGAGCTATTAAAATAAATGCTCATCCTCCTATCCCCTAAAATCCTGAGCACCATCAGTGGAGTAAGTATCACACTTTGGAAGACACAAGGAGCAGAGCTTCTTAACTCTGGAGTTCTATGGACCATTTTCTGGGATTGATGGAAGCGATGAAATTGTGTGTAAAACATGCGTGGTTGTGCATTTTTCTGGTGAGAGAGCTGCAGCTTTCATCACAGTCCAACCAGAATCCTTCCCTCACTCCAGACCTGCCACTAAGAGGAAAATAACTGAAAAGATAGATCATACTCCCCCCGTCTTACACACCCAGACCTTGAGGGGGCCTCCTGTGGGCAGACATCTGACCATGCCCCTGGAGAAAAGCCCTCTGTTTGGGGAGACCCTAGAGGAGGGCAAGCCCTGACTCCCCAGCCCCTGCTGTTGGGTTAGCCCTAATGTCTGAATGTGTGTCTCATGCTAATCCCACAAGGTGTATCTGTCTCTGAATGGCTGAGAAGTCCCCAGATTCTGCCACATGTGGTTCTGCCAGGCTTTGGGGGTCCGGCCATTCAGAACTTTGGAGCTTGAGTAACTAAATGGGGGTGGACAATAGGGAGGAAATCTAAGTGCAGGAAGACTCAGGGTCCCCACCCCACCTGGGGCTCCAGAACAGCTTGAGCACAGCCCCAGCTTGGAAGGCCGGCCTGAGCTGAGAATTCAGATAAAAGCTGATGATTGGGAAACTTGCTAAACTCCCCCTGCCTGCAGAGCAGAGTGGATGTGAGAAATCTGCTAACTGAAGGGGATCGAGGTCTGCTTAGCCCACAACAAGGCTTCCTAAGTGGGCCTGCCTGGCCAGTCAGCAGCCACCGTCCTTTGCTACCTGCCAGGGACTTGTGAGCCCTGGCCTGCTCTGGTGCCAGGTGAGCCTTATCTGGAGGATGAAGCTAGGGCAAGCTGGGAGAGGGCCAGGGACCCAAGTCACTGTGGTTCCATGTGACACAGGGTAAACACAGGCTCCAAGAGTGCCCCCTGGTGTCACCTCAGAATTCAGTGATTGAAGGGGCTTCGAGACCCAAATTAGGGCGAAAGTTGGAAATTACGACTCTATGGGGGAAATAAAAAGAAATAGACAGGAATCACAGAAACACCTGAGGGTAATCATTTCTGGAAACATTACCAGCAAAGAACCCAAATTGATGCCTGAGCAGCATCCATCATCTTCCCTTTCCTTATTTATTTATTTATTTATCTTAAGACACACAACTCACTGTTGGTCCATATGTCGTCTTCATTCATTTAGACAGACAGGAAATAAGCGTCCTGTTCTCTCTGAAGCCCACCACGGCACTGAAAGTACCCTTGCCAGGGCCATCGGGACCTTCACCTGGCTAAACCTGGTGGTCAGTTCTCACCTGGCCTGGCAGCAACTCACGACATGGCGATCGCTCCCCCCTGCTTGACACACTGTCCTCAGCTGGTTTCTGGATACCTCGCCCCTTTGGTTTTCCACTGCTGCTGTAAAAAATT